TCTTGCATCCATCGTCTTTCTTTCTACTAAGGGTGGGATTCCCTTCTATCTATTCTTTATTATCTAATCTAACTACATTCTTATTTCTATTCTTTCCTTCTTTTCCACTGCTGGGCATTATTTCAGGGAAGTAAATGTACACAACCTGATCTATTTTATTCTTGCTACTGCTTACTTGCTAACAATATTTTAATCTACTACAGTATTATGCTTATATGTAATATACATCAATATATTAATACAGCATACATTCTTAACTACTTTTATTTCTTACAATTACTTTTCTCGCTATTCTTACGCAATAATCTAAAAATACATTTCTTTGATCACTCTCAATGATATCCTTCACAGTTTCAGCCGTTATTTTGGTTTTCATCTTACTCTCAACTTCAAAACGTTCTATGCCGAAGACGGGGCATTCTAACACTATGTGAGGGATAGACTCGGGTATCGCAGGGTCGCAGATACACGATGGACTCTCCTTGCACTTAAAACGGTTTAAGTACTCGGAGAATCCACCGTGTCCTGTCATCACTTGTGTTTTGTGACTGTCTATTTTAATCTTACGGACAATTCTATATGCAGTTACTGCGTCCGGGAAAAACATTTTTGTAACTGCGGCCGTTTCACCTGTCTTATATCTATGATTCCATTCGTCAAGCGTTGCCTGGCGAATGCACCGCTTGACGAATGAAACCGGACAAAGGTCGTAATCCGGTTTCTTCTTGGAATTCTTGGCCGCTTCCTTCGCGAGTTGGTCTGCTCGTTCATTGCCTTCAAAACCTGCGTGAGCTTTTATCCAGAACAAGGTGACTACCTTGCCCTGGAGAGATATATCTTTAAGATTTTCTCTGGCCTCTACTGCGATTGGGTGAAGGCAACGGGGGTTCTTAATTGTAAGAAGGGCGGCCATAGAATCGCTATAGATCCCGAAGGTCAAGGCGTTGTGTGCGCGAATGACTCGAGTAGCTCGGCTTATTGCTAGTAGCTCAGCTTGGTAGACGGTACAGTATTCCGGCAGAGCAAGCTTGAGGGTTTTGGCCTCCACCCCGCCAGTCCATACAGATACTGCAGCGCCAACTTTGCCATCAATTTTGCTCCCGTCCGTGTAAATATGCATATCGCAAACAACTGCATTTTTCACGTCGTCCTGATTTGCCAAGCTTACGATATTCAATTCGAGACATTCGGCCGGATGTGGAGTCTCAAGTGCTGATGCCATACGCTCGACCTCCCTCCTGGCCAGCACCGACTGGGGCAATCCCCTCTTGGCTTCGTACAATGAGGACGCCTCACGAACTCGGAGGTCTAGGGGGAGTATCCCAGCCAGCACCAGTGCCGAGTTCAGGGAGACCGTGCGGTAGGCCTTGCAGAGCTTTTGGGCGATGCCCCGTTGTACAGTCTGCAGCTGCTTGATGACCATTAGTTTTTCTGCAGCCGACCCCCATGCTCCAGCAGCGTACAAGATGACTGGCTCCACTGTCGCCGTGTAAATAATTTTGATCACCTCCGGGTGAAGGCCCCAACTGACCTTTGCCGCTCCGGAGAGTTTCTTGTATATACATATGGCTTTCCTGCAAGCATTTGCGACGTGGGTGTTAAAGGTCAGTTTATCGTCGATGGTCATACCCAGCAATTTTATTTCCTTCGACATGCCAACTGCAACCCCTCCCATGCTCAGTCGTGGTGTGTCGTGTTTAAGCTTTCTGGTGATTATCATTGCGCATGTTTTGTGTGGAGCGAAGTTAAGCTTATTCTCGACACCCCACGACCGGACACGTTCGAGAGTATCATTGGCACGATCCTGGACTTCTTGAGCTGTTTTGCCATCGAACACCAGCACGACATCGTCAGCAAACGCCTGACAGTAATCACCTCTGTCCGCAAGTTTTTTCAGGAGGGGATCAAGAAGGATGTTCCACAGGATAGGTCCCCCTATGGATCCCTGGACACATCCTTTGGTAGTCGCTTTCTTATGCTCCTCACCGGCGTATCTGACCACCACCTCCCTGTCTCTAAGATAACTGTCTATGACCCTCCTCAAATTGAGGGGACAATTTTCCTCAGCCAGTCGGACTCTTATTGCCGGCCACCAGGCGCTATCGAAGGCTCCCTCTATATCTAAGGATACTAGAGTTATGATTTTCTTTTCATCTAGCTTTCTACGGATATACTGAATTAGCGTATAGAGGGAGTCCTCGGTGCTCCTTTGCGGCATGAATCCATACTGGTGAGTACTAATCCTCGGCAGTAGATGGTATTTGAGGCGGGCCATGATCATCTTTTCATAAATCTTTCCTAGTATAGGCAACAGTCCTATTGGCCTATAGGATTTTGGCTTTGTGTAGTCATCCTTACCGGGTTTTCTTAGGACGACGACTATTGCTTGTTTCCATATCTTGGGGAAGTGGTGGTATTCTAGACATTTATTGAGGAGCGCTAAGAATAACCTAGGTTGGGCCCTAATGGCACGGCAACATATATCGGCCGTGAAGCCGTCCAATCCCGGTGCCTTCTTTGGGTTGAAAGACTCACTTGCTTGAGTTAATTCAAACATTGTGAACGGGGGGTCACAAGAGCCATCTTGATCTGCGGCGTTCACTCTGTCGGCCTCGAGTCTTACGTAGCGATGGTGAGTATTATCTCTGTCGGGTACATCCTCTGGATAGAATGTTTTGGCCAGCAGCTCTACAGAGCCCCTCTCGTCCAACATCCCCTCCTCGCCCTCCAGTGGTAGATCCTGTTCCCTATGCGTCGTTCTTCCTATGACCCTGTATATCCCCTCCCACACTCCCTCTCTATCCTGCTTGCAACAAAACTCTTTCCAGCTCTCTGTCTGGGCCTTCGCTGTCTCTGACTCATACTCCTCTTTCTGTTTCAGGTACTCTTCTATGACCTTCTGCTTTCGAATTGGAGCGGCACACCTAATTCTGCGTTTCTTCGTAGCGACGTTCTTTTTAAGCTCTGCAAGTTTTTTGGACCACCACGGCAGTCTGATGCGTTCTTCCGCTTTTTTAGTTGGCATCGTTGATAGACAGGTTTGTTTTATTGAGTTTGTCAAATTTTTTGTAAGTGTATCCAAATCGTTTATGTTGTCAATTTTATTTATATCATTTTCTGTTATTCTATTTTCTTGTAGTGATTGTCCAAGTTGCTCATGAAACTTGGACCAATCAGCTTTTTTAGTGTTAAAAAGTCTTGTTGTCCTGTTTATCATGACAACAAGATTTCTACGGATATACTGAATTAGCGTATAGAGGGAGTCCTCGGTGCTCCTTTGCGGCATGAATCCATACTGGTGAGTACTAATCCTCGGCAGTAGATGGTATTTGAGGCGGGCCATGATCATCTTTTCATAAATCTTTCCTAGTATAGGCAACAGTCCTATTGGCCTATAGGATTTTGGCTTTGTGTAGTCATCCTTACCGGGTTTTCTTAGGACGACGACTATTGCTTGTTTCCATATCTTGGGGAAGTGGTGGTATTCTAGACATTTATTGAGGAGCGCTAAGAATAACCTAGGTTGGGCCCTAATGGCACGGCAACATATATCGGCCGTGAAGCCGTCCAATCCCGGTGCCTTCTTTGGGTTGAAAGACTCACTTGCTTGAGTTAATTCAAACATTGTGAACGGGGGGTCACAAGAGCCATCTTGATCTGCGGCGTTCACTCTGTCGGCCTCGAGTCTTACGTAGCGATGGTGAGTATTATCTCTGTCGGGTACATCCTCTGGATAGAATGTTTTGGCCAGCAGCTCTACAGAGCCCCTCTCGTCCAACATCCCCTCCTCGCCCTCCAGTGGTAGATCCTGTTCCCTATGCGTCGTTCTTCCTATGACCCTGTATATCCCCTCCCACACTCCCTCTCTATCCTGCTTGCAACAAAACTCTTTCCAGCTCTCTGTCTGGGCCTTCGCTGTCTCTGACTCATACTCCTCTTTCTGTTTCAGGTACTCTTCTATGACCTTCTGCTTTCGGATTGGAGCGGCACACCTAATTCTGCGTTTCTTCGTAGCGACGTTCTTTTTAAGCTCTGCAAGTTTTTTGGACCACCACGGCAGTCTGATGCGTTCTTCCGCTTTTTTAGTTGGCATCGTTGATAGACAGGTTTGTTTTATTGAGTTTGTCAAATTTTTTGTAAGTGTATCCAAATCGTTTATGTTGTCAATTTTATTTATATCATTTTCTGTTATTCTATTTTCTTGTAGTGATTGTCCAAGTTGCTCATGAAACTTGGACCAATCAGCTTTTTTAGTGTTAAAAAGTCTTGTTGTCCTGTTTATCATGACGCCTTCCGATTTTTCTAGGCGAATCTCAAACAGTATGCCGTTGTGGTCCGAACTCATCAGGCCCTCGTTTATCCTCCAGTTGTCCACTAGAGCCAGAAGATTTGTCGAGCAGGCTGTTATGTCGACATAGCTGTGGTACCGTTTTCCTCCCCGAATGGTGTCAAAGGTCGGAATTTCCCCTACGTTGAGTATATTGAGGCCCATTTCCTCAAAAGCGCCGGACATTTCGTCACCCCTGTGATCAATTATTGGGCTACCCCACCACGAGCTTTTTGCATTAGCATCACCTCCAATAATCCACTTGTTTGGTCCTACTAGTTGCTCTATTTTCTTCAGGTGTTCCAGGTATGGCTCAATGGGTTGATCCGGCTCAAAGTAAAGCGAGACTACTGTGATTTCCCAGGCACTGGTTTGGATCCCCACCACTACGATGTTGTCTGTGGTGAGTTTCGGATACTGCTTAACATTGAGTTGGTGGTCGAAAACAGCAATAGCCGCTTTAACAGTCCCATCTCCTTGTCCTGTGCTCTGGAAGATCCGTACTCCTTGATAGCCACGCATTGCCTTGGACCTTCCCACGTATGGCTCCTGGAGAAGAGCAACAGCAGTGCCACGTTTCTGTGCCTCAAGAAGAATCTCGTTTGTGGCTAACTTCTTTCTTTGGAGGTTTGCTTGGATGAATTTATACTGGGAGGTTTCCGCTTGGTCGCCCTTAGCAGTAGGCTACAGATGATCGCGCTATCTTATCCCATTTTTGGCGAATAGGGCAATCACGGCTAAAGGCGTTATGCTCTGCCTGATCCAGTTTAGCCCTTGTGCAGTTCTTACAAGCGGGTGGTTCACCATTAATCCTATCAGCGCACTCCGCTCCCTGGTGAGGGCCGCCGCAATGGCTGCATATGTCTGCTGGTTCTTTGCAAAATTTTTTGCTATGCCCATATCCCAGACAGCGGCTACACTGGACCAAGGGGGAGTGGTCATCCACTCTGACACGCTGGAGGTCAATATGGAAGTATCCAGTTTCTGTTGCTCTACGCCAGATGGTAGGTGACACACTAATCACTACATGGTTAGTGTGGGGGTTTCTTGTTTTCTTCCTATATTTAACCTTCCACCCTGTCTTCCGCTCCGTCGAGGCCATGAAAGACATACCCATTTTGGTTCCTCAGTGCTTTGATAATGTCTTCGTCGGTGTTAATGGACAATACACTTAAGAGGATCAATAATGGGTCTTTGTTCCTCACCTCCTCGACGGTGAGGTCCACCCCCTTGGTTTCCAGTCTGTGCTTGGCTTTACTTCTTTCTTCCGGTGTATCAAATCCTATGATGATTTTCCTGTCCTTCGCTTTCCTTACCCGTTCAACTTTAATCCAGCCGTCTTTTGCATCTACCGCTTTCCTGACCTTGTCGAGCACCTCTTCCCCTGATTCAGTTTCATCTTTTGAGGTGACCACTACCGAGTGCAGCGTGCTTCGTACTTTTGGTATGTTTGCGGTTTTATTCGATACTACACTCGCGTAGGTTGCCCGTTCCAAGGTCTCCTTTTGTCTGTCAATAGACGCCTTAAGCTCTTCTATCTTTTTGTTGCTTTCGATCAACAGCTTCGTATGCTCCTCGATTCGAGCTATTATGTTTGGGTCGCACTGGGTGCTACTTGTTGGTTCCGGTGTTTTGACTATAAATGTAGAGTCGGTACTGGTTTGCAGCGGCTCCCCCCCCACAATCCCATCACCAACACCAACACCTTTAGACTTTTCTATTTTTAACTCCTTTTCAGCTTCCCTAACAATCTGGTAGAGTCGATCAAGTGCCTCAACCAATCCATTTTTAATCTCGGTTTTTATATTTCGAGAGGCGCTCAGATGTAATTTACCTTTGTTCAGGCAGGCCCTTGCCTCCGACGTTCGATTTTCGTATTTACTCTCATGAGGAGTTTGGACATCGATAGATGGTCTACGCGCGGCCGTGGGTTTGTTGTCTTTCGACAGTACCGGTCGTGGTTTAGAGGTAGTATTGTCCACCTGGACCGTCTTTGCGCTTGAGTTTGTTGGAGCGGGGTTGGTGGATGCACCTTCCCAGTCGCTTATGCTTCGCCTAACATTGGGAGGGGAAGCTGACGTTCCTGGTTTAGGGGGGGATGACACCTCACCACTCGGTTTCATTGGAGTTCTAAACCCAAACATAATGGAGGTATGCGTCCGTCAGTAAAATTGTATAAATAAAATAATAAAAGTGTATAAGGTAAAATAAAACAACAAAAACAATTATATAAATAAAATTTGAAGATCAAATTCTTGTCAAGTAAATTACTGCAAAAGCACGTCAGGAGTACTCTAATTTACCCGAAAGAGCAGTTTCAGGGGCCAAAATTAACGAATGTAGAGACAAAGTTCTTCCAGACTCTATGTAGAGCTGATTTTTAGGTTTCAGTAGATAGCTCTCGCCGAGCCCTTTTCAACAAGCCCAAACACCAAGCAGCCAGCCCAACCAATCCCGAAGATATGGAAGTTCAAAGTTTTCCAAGATGGCGGCTGAAATTAGTTTTTCCTTGATAACTTCGGAATACCGGTCTGATTTGCCTGGTTCCTGGGCCCGGTTCTTTGGGCAAAGTATCAGCCTGACCTTTTCCTTCAGTTGAATCCACTTTCAGGATTCTAAAATTTTTTAAGCTTAGATTTACCTTAATTTCAGGGAAAGTATAAAGCAAGAACTACTTATCCCAAATCCGAAAACCGCAAGTTTCTAGGTGGCGTGGTTGCCGAATTATTGCGATTTAAAGTTTAACAAAATGGCCGCCGAAATGTCAAAATCCTGCTTTAGGAGGCTATAAATCCGTAACCCGTGGTCGGAAAAAATCGGGGTTTTGGATGTACAGCTTGGCTGTACCTAAGGAACGTCCTGAAAGTAGTTTCAGGCGAAAACCAGAAAACTCCTGAAATCGGCTGAAACCGATCAGATAATATTAAGGGCAAATTTAAATAAGTAACAGTGGTAATCCCAGATTCTTGTGACAATTGGTTCCCAAGTTATGGTCAATTAAAGTTTTGCTCCTGAAAAACAAAATGGCGGATTTTGTCAAAATCTGTTAATTTTAGGAGTTTTGGGCCGGTGTTTCGGCTCAATTTAGTCACAAATAGCCTAAAAAGACCATTCCAGGTGTAAATTTATTTAATGATTATTTATTTAAGAATTAAATTGAGAAGAAGAGAAAAAATCAATATCTCTAGAACCAATTGGCAAAAAATTTCGGAAAAAATTGATAAATACGTCTTAAATAAGTCTCTAACCTATAACAAATTTTAAATTTTTAAAATTTTTAACAATTTTTTAAAACTTTACTATATAGCAACTTGGCTCTACCAAGAGTCTTATTTTCTCTGAGTCACTCCTTAACGCTAGTTAATCTTATTCTAGTAATATTAAATTAAAGAAAAGGTCCCTAGGTCTAACTTATTAATTTAGTAATAATATACATAAACTCTATGTAGAGTCTGTTTATACAAACTGCTGTCAATAGAAGAAAATATAAAATTATAATAATACACTAAAAAATAAAAAAAATTAATTTAAAAATAAAAAATTTTTTACCTCAAAATTTTCTTGGCTCTACCAAGAGTCTCTTTTGTTAAAGCTAGAGCTAGTCTATAACACTAACTTATTGGTCTTATTTTAAAAATTTTGTTACAAAGAAAGTCTTAGTCTAGTTTATAAAAATAAAAATTTGCATAAAAATATAGACTCTATGTAGAGTCGGTCTATAAAAAATTTAATATTTGACAATTATAGTTAATTTTGCAAAAAACCCCGTCCAAATCGGAGCACCCGTTAATTTATTATAGTAATTTAAAGTTTTTCATCCCCCAGAGACTAAGTCGAAAAGTCAACTTAGGGGTAGGGGGTTGAAAATCAGCCAAAATGATGCGGTGGGTGGCGAAGACTATCCCTTAGATGGATAGTGTGGGGGGGGGTGACGGGGGGGGGGGCCCCCGAAAAAATTGTCAAAATTGAGCTAGGAGGCTCCGTTCTCCTGAAAACTGAAAAACAAGTTTTCGTGCGGTTTTCAGGACCTCCCAGCTCTTACAATTAAATTCTTATCTCCAAAAGCGCTGCCTCAAAAATTCCGAAAAAAATACTGTATGTAGACAGATAAATTGCCTATGATATACTTAATTTGGAAAAAATTTTTGCCTGAAAATTTTTTGAGTTATTTAATTTTGAAAATCTACTTATGAAAACCAACAACCGCAAAAAGCGTCTCATTCGAAAAATATGAATAGGAAAATTTTGAAAAAATTTGGGAAGCTAAGATTATGTTAATACTATTTTATGGAATTTTTTCAGATTTTTCAGGAGCACTTTCAGGACAACACGTGTTTACACTTAATAATAAAAAATTTGCTTACTTTTCTAATTGCACTCCAAAAAATTGTTTTTTAATGTCCTTTTGTAGGCCTTGATTTGCTGCTATAGATGAACACAAAAAAGGCACAGGTCGTCACTGAAATTTCAGAGATATTTACACGTGAAGTTTTCTGCTGAAAATTCTATTCTTTAAAGTGTAATAACTTCTATATTTCTCAACCGATTTTAATGATCGAGGTGTCTGGTGCTTCGTCCTGATGTCCTCTTTGATATTCCGTTTGCAGAAACAGCCGCACGGCCTCCTATCAAAAACCACGTGTCCACGTGGTTTTATATTTTGGTTAATAATTTCGTGCGCGAACGTCGTAAAAATCTGGTGATTGGTCAGTATGATAAAGCAAGTCAAGGCGCTTATTCCTACACTTTAAAAACACTATGTCATAGATCTCGTTTAGGCAGCGTTTCACTTTTAAGATTTTTAGGTTAATAAAATCTGGTTTTTCCGTATTTATTCCGTATTTTCCGCACTTTTCCAACTTTGTTATATATCACTGGATTCGTCTCGACGAGACGAATCTTTTGATGTAACACACTTAACAATTTGGTCACTTTGACCCACAACTTCGAATTTATGATTGCGGAGCGGTTTAAAAGTGCTGCGTACGGCACGGCGTTTGGAGTGCAACTGGGTTAGGTTAGGTTAGGTTAGGTTAGGTTAGGTTAGGTTAGGTTAGGTTAGGTTAGGTTAGGTTAGGTTAGGTTAGGTTAGGTTAGGTTAGGTTAGGTTAGGTTAGGTTAGGTTCCCCCCCGAACGGGTTCCCGCCTTGTCGTGGCGGGGGGGCTTAGTAGCCGTGGCTTGGTCAACCACGGTGAACAAAGAGGAACCCCTTGGCTGGCCCGAGGTGTAGGGCCGGCCCGAGGTGGCCACTCCGAGCGGGCTGGGGAAGCCCACTTCGGATGTGTGTTGGTGGGCTGCGGTGAGAGGGGAGTCCGCACCCTCTACCGCTGCAGCGAGTTGGAGTCGCGGAGGAAGAGGAGTGTTGGTATGGCGATGCGCCACTCGCCCTATCCTCCGCGACTCAAACGGGGCCGCACCGTTAATTGATGCGGTGGTGGTGGGGCTGCGGGGGGAGAGGAGTGTCGGTATTGCGAGGCGCCGCTCTCCCTACCCTCCGCAGCCGAATCTTGGTTGGCGGCGGAGCCATAGACCAGATCCGCCGCTGGGGTCGGGAAAGCGGGCGCTAATAAGCGCTCGATTTTCCTGGCCCCATGGCCTCCGCGTATCGGACTCGGGGGGGTCCCATACGCAGGTGGAGTTGGAGGCTGTGGAGGGGGGTAGCTGAACACCTCGCTACCCCGTACAGGAGACGAGGCCCGGACAGACCGGGCCAGCACTAGTGTGGGGCTGCGGAAGAATTTGGATTCCCGCGGCCCCGCGCGCACGTGCGAGGAGGCACCGTGGGGTTTTAGCCGGTAGGAGTCCGGCATAACCTTCCGGTTGCCCCCGCAGCCGGAGGTATCCATGAGGATTTCCCCACGAAAAAAAAAAAAAAAAAAAAAAAAAAAAAGGTTAGGTTAGGTTAGGTTAGGTTAGGTTAGGTTAGGTTAGGTTCCCCCCCGAACGGGTTCCCGCCTTGTCGTGGCGGGGGGGCTTAGTAGCCGTGGCTTGGTCAACCACGGTGAACGAAGAGGAACCCCTTGGCTGGCCCGAGGTGTAGGGCCGGCCCGAGGTGGCCACTCCAAGTGGGCTTGGGAAGCCCACTTCGGATGTGTGTCGGGGGGCTGTGGTGAGAGGGGAGTCCGCAACCCTCTACCGCTGCAGCCGAGGTGGAGTCGCGGAGGAAGAGGAGTGTTGGTATGGCGATGCGCCACTCGCCCTATCCTCCGCGACTCAGACGGAGCCGCAACGTCAATTGATGCGGTGGTGGTGGGGCTGCGGGGGGAGAGGAGTGTCGGTATTGCGAGGCGCCGCTCTCCCTACCCTCCGCAGCCGAATCTTGGTTGGCGGCGGAGCCATAGACCAGATCCGCCGCTGGGGTCGGGAAGGCTGGTGCTTCTTAGTGCTGGTTTTTCCTGGCCCCATGGCCTTCGCGCGTCGGACGCGGGGGCGTCTGTTGCGCGTATCAAATTGGAGGCCGAGGAGGAGGGCGCGCCATGTGTTCTGGTGCGCCTTACCGGAGAAGGAGATGGGGGAGGAGTGGTCCTCTCCCGAGGAGGGGCCGCCATGGGGTGGCCGGCGCAGGTGGGGCCGCGGAAGTGTGCGAAAGCGTTCCCGTGGCCCTGCCAATATGCGACGAGGGTGGAACACCATGGGGTTTTAGTCGGTGCGAGTCCGACATAACCCGTCCTTGCCCCCGCGAGGCGGGTATGCGTAGGCATTTCCCCATGTAAAAAAAAAAAAAAAAAAAAAGGTTAGGTTAGGTTAGGTTAGGTTAGGTTCCCCCCCGAACGGGTTCCCGCCTTGTCGTGGCGGGGGGGCTTAGTAGCCGTGGCTTGGTCACCCACGGTGAACAAAGAGGAACCCCTTGGCTGGCCCGTGGTGTAGGGCCGGCCCGAGGTGGCCACTCCGAGTGGGCTTGGGAAGCCCACTTCGGATGTGTGTCGGTGGGATGCTGCGAGAGGGGTGTCCGCTCCCTCTATCGCTGCAGCCGAGGTGGAGTCGCGGAGGAGGAGGCGTGCTGGTATGGCGATGCGCCACTCGCCCTATCCTCCGCGACTCAGGCGGGGCCGCACCGTCGATTGATGCGGTGGTGGTGGGGCTGCGGTGGGAGAGGAGTGTCGGTATTGCGAGGCGCCGCTCTCCCTACCCTCCGCAGCCGAATCTTGGTTGGCGGCGGAGCCATAGACCAGATCCGCCGCTGGGGCCAGGAAGGCCGGTGCTTCTGAGTGCTAGTTTTTCCTGGCCCCATGGCCTTCGCGCATCGGACACGGGGGCGTCCGTTGCGCATGTTAAGTTGGAGGCCGAGGAGGAGGGCGCGCCATGTGTTCTGGTGCGCCTTACCTGAGAGGGAGACGGGGGAGGAGTAGTCTTCTCCCGAGGAGGGGCCGCCATGGGGCGGCCAGCGCAGGTGGGGCCGCGGATGTGTGCGAAAGCGTTCCCGTGGCCCTGCCAATATGCGACGAGGGTGGAACACCATGGGGTTTTAGTCGGTGCGAGTCCGACATAACCCGTCCTTGCCCCCGCGAGGCGGGTATGCGTAGGCATTTCCCCATGTAAAAAAAAAAAAAAAGGTTAGGTTAGGTTAGGTTAGGTTAGGTTAGGTTAGGTTAGGTTCCCCCCCGAACGGGTTCCCGCCTTGTCGTGGCGGGGGGGCTTAGTAGCCGTGGCTTGGTCAACCACGGTGAACAAAGAGGAACCCCTTGGCTGGCCCGAGGTGTAGGGCCGGCCCGAGGTGGCCACTCCAAGTGGGCTTGGGAAGCCCACTTCGGATGTGTGTCGGTGGGCTGCGGTGAGAGGGGAGTCCGCACCCTCTACCGCTGCAGCCGAGGTGGAGTCGCGGAGGAAGAGGAGTGTTGGTATGGCGATGCGCCACTCGCCCTATCCTCCGCGACTCAGACGGGGCCGCACCGTTAAATGATGCGGTGGTGGTGGGGCTGCGGGGGGAGAGGAGTGTCGGTTTTGCGAGGCGCCGCTCTCCCTACCCTCCGCAGCCGAATCTTGGTGGGCGGCGGAGCCATAGACCAGATCCGTCGCTGGGGTCAGGAAGGCTGGTGCTTCTGAGTGCTAGTTTTTCCTGACCCCATGGCCTCCGCGTATCGGACTCGGGGGGGTCCGATACGCAGGTGGAGTTGGAGGCTGTGGAGGGGGGTAGCTGAACACCTCGCTACCCCGTGCAGGAGACGAGGCCCAGACAGATCGGGCCAGCACTAGTGTGGGGCTGCGGAAGAATTTGGATTCCCGCGGCCCCGCACGCATGTGCGAGGAGGAACCGTGGGGTTTTAGCCGGTAGGAGTCCGGCATAACCTTCCGGTTGCCCCCGCGGCTGGAGGTATCCATGAGGATTTCCCCACGTAAAAAAAAAAAAAAAAAAAAAGGTTAGGTTAGGTTAGGTTAGGTTAGGTTCCCTGAGCGAGTGGGACACGTTCCCCCGGCGATGGCTTCGCCCTCAGCCACAGACTCTCCAGAAGAGGAGAGCACCGATGTCCCCGAGGTGACGCAAGCAGAGACGAGAGTGGCCGTGTCGCGACTCCGGGCTAAGAACACAGCGCCCGGACCCGACGGAGTTCCTGGTCGAGCTCTCGTCCTGGCTCTGAAGGAGCTAGAGCCCCTGCTGAGAGGGCTCTTCACGGCATGTCTCGAGCAGGGTCAGTTTCCCAGTGTGTGGAAGGAGGGGAGGCTGGTCCTGCTCAGGAAGGAGGGGCGCCCCGCGGACTCACCGTCCGCGTACCGGCCCATAGTGCTGCTCGACGAGGCGGGCAAACTTCTTGAGCGTATCATCGCAGATCGCCTCGTCGGCCACTTGTGCAGAGAGGGGCCGGACCTGGACGAGAACCAGTTTGGTTTTCGTCGCGGGCGCTCCACCATAGACGCTATTACGCGCGTGAGGGCCCTGGCGGAGAAGACAGTATCCCGGGGTGGGGTGGTGCTGGCGGTGTCTTTAGACATCTCCAACGCCTTCAACACCCTACCCTGGAGTTGTATTCGGGAGGCACTGAATTACCATCGCGTGCCTCCCTACCTCCGCCGCATAATAGGGGCTTACCTTGAGGAGAGATGCGTTACCTATTGGGGACGTGACGGCGCTGGTCGGCGCGTCATGTCGTGCGGTGTTCCGCAGGGATCGGTCTTGGGACCGCTCCTGTGGAACATCGGCTACGACTGGGTGCTGAGAGGTGAACTCCCGTCGGGCGCCGAATTGACGTGTTATGCGGATGACACGCTCGTCACTGCCCGGGGGAGTTCGCACAGGGAAGCAGCGTTGGTTGCCACGGCTGCGGTGTCACAAGTGGTGAACCGCATCCGGCGCCTGGGCCTGGAGGTGGTCCTAAGTAAGTCAGAGGCCATGGTGTTCCATGGCCCTCGACGCGCGCCGCCGCCGGGTGCACACATCGTGGTCAGCGGGGCCCGGATAGCTGTCGAGTCCACCATGAAGTATCTGGGATTGGTGCTCGACAGCCGATGGGAATTCGGACCCCACTTCCGGCGGCTGGCGCCCAAGCTGATGGGTGCAGCGGGCGCGCTATCAACGTTGCTTCCCAACTTGGGGGGCCCGAGCGCCGCCTGTAGGCGGTTGTATGTGGGAATCGTGCGGTCCATGGCCCTGTATGGGGCCCCTGTGTGGGCGATGGACATGACGGCCAGCACTCTCGCCATTCTGCGTAAACCGCAGAGGGCGATGGCCGTCAGAGTCGTCCGCGGGTATCGCACGATTTCCTACGAGGCGGCTTGCGTCCTGGCCGGATCCCCGCCCTGGGACCTAGAGGCGAAAGTACTCGCGTCATTATATCGATGGCGCGAGGAAGAGCGGGCACGGGGCTCGAGACCGGTGCAGCGGCAGATCGCGCTGCGCCGAGAGGAGCTCCGTCAGGTCTTGGTGGCGGAATGGCGGCAAAGGCTTCTGCGCCCTACCGCCGGCCTCGCTACCGTCGAGGCGATCCGGCCAGTACTCGACGACTGGCTCGGGAGAAGGCACGGCTCCCTGTCGTTTAGGGTGACGCAGGTGCTGTCGGGGCATGGCTGCTTCGGCAAGTACCTGCGCCGCATAGACAGGGAGCCGGACGCTCGGTGCCACCACTGCGTCCATTGCGGGGAGGACACGGCGCAACACACGCTCGCCGAGTGTGTAGCTTGGGAGGAGCAGCGCCGTGTCCTCACAAATAAAGTAGGAGGCGATCTGTCGCTGCCGGCCTTAGTGCGGAAGATGGTCGGTAGCGCAGAGTCGTGGGATGCAGTGGTGTCCTTCTGCGAGGACGTGATGTCGCAGAAGGAAACTGCGGAACGGGAAAGGGAGATCTCGACTCCCTTCCCTGGCCGCAGAAGGCGCACCGGGCGCAGGAGAAGGGCGGACAACGCCCTTTTCCGGCCCCCATAAATGGGTCCAGGGGAGAGGGACTTGGGGAAGCCCCCGCCACCCCTAGTCGATGGACCCGAGGCGGAGGCGCGCGCGGGTGTCGGCGCGCGCCCCTGAGGCGATACACGGGGTAGTTTAACACCTCACTACCCCGTGCAGGAGACGAGGCCCGGACAGACCGGGCCAGCACTAGTGTGGGGCTGCGGAAGAATTTGGATTCCCGCGGCCCCATGCGCACGTGTGAGGAGACACCGGGGTGGTTTTAGCCGGTAAGAGTCCGGCACGCCCCTCCTCCTTTCCCCAGGCGGAGGTAGTCCATGAGGATTTCCCCCCGTAAAAAAAAAAAAAAAAAAAAAAAAGGTTAGGTTAGGTTAGGTTAGGTTAGGTTAGGTTAGGTTAGGTTAGGTTAGGTTCCCCCCCCGAACGGGTTCCCGCCTTGTCGTGGCGGGGGGGCTTAGTAGCCGTGGCTTGGTCAACCACGGTGAACGAAGAGGAACCCCTTGGCTGGCCCGAGGTGTAGGGCCGGCCCGAGGTGGCCACTCCGAGTGGGCTTGGGAAGCCCACTTCGGATGTGTGTCGGGGGGCTGTGGTGAGAGGGGAGTCCGCAACCCTCTACCGCTGCAGCCGAGGTGGAGTCGCGGAGGAAGAGGAGTGTTGGTATGGCGATGCGCCACTCGCCCTATCCTCCGCGACTCAGACGGAGCCGCAACGTCAATTGATGCGGTGGTGGTGGGGCTGCGGGGGGAGAGGAGTGTCGGTATTGCGAGGCGCCGCTCTCCCTACCCTCCGCAGCCGAATCTTGGTTGGCGGCGGAGCCATAGACCAGATCCGCCGCTGGGGTCGGGAAGGCTGGTGCTTCTTAGTGCTAGATTTTCCTGGCCCCATGGCCTTCGCGCATCGGACACGGGGGCGTCTGTTGCGCATATGAAATTGGAGGCCGAGGAGGAGGGCGCGCTATGTGTTCTGGTGCGCCTTACCGGAGAAGGAGATGGGGGAGGAGTGGTCCTCTCCCGAGGAGGGGCCGCCATGGGGTGGCCGGCGCAGGTGGGGCCGCGGAAGTGTGCGAAAGCGTTCCCGTGGCCCTGCCAATATGCGACGAGGGTGGAACACCATGGGGTTTTAGTCGGTGCGAGTCCGACATAACCCGTCCTTGCCCCCGCGAGGCGGGTATGCGTAGGCATTTCCCCATGTAAAAAAAAAAAAAAAAAAAAAAGGTTAGGTTAGGTTAGGTTAGGTTAGGTTAGGTTAGGTTAGGTTAGGTTAGGTTCGCGCTATCAACGTTGCTTCCCAACTTGGGGGGCCCGAGCGCCGCCTGTAGGCGGTTGTACGTGGGAATCGTGCGGTCCATGGCCCTGTATGGGGCCCCTGTGTGGGCGATGGACATGACGGCCAGCACTCTCGCCATTCTGCGTAAACCGCAGAGGGCGATGGCCGTCAGAGTCGCCCGCGGGTATCGCACGATTTCCTACGAGGCGGCTTGCGTCCTGGCCGGATCCCCGCCCTGGGACCTAGAGGCGAAAGTACTCGCGTCATTATATCGATGGCGCGAGGAAGAGCGGGCACGGGGCTCGAGGCCGGTGCAGCGGCAGATCGCGCTGCGCCGAGAGGAGCTCCGTCAGGTCTTGGTGGCGGAATGGCGGCTAAGGCTTCTGCGCCCTACCGCAGGCCTCGCTACCGTCGAGGCGATCCGGCCAGTACTCGACGACTGGCTCGGGAGAAGGCACGGCTCCCTGTCGTTTAGGGTGACGCAGGTGCTGTCGGGGCATGGCTGCTTCGGCAAGTACCTGCGCCGCATAGACAGGGAGCCGGACGCTCGGTGCCACCACTGCGTCCATTGCGGGGAGGACACGGCGCAACACACGCTCGCCGAGTGTGTAGCTTGGGAGGAGCAGCGCCGTGTCCTCACAAATAAAGTAGGAGGCGATCTGTCGCTGCCGGCCTTAGTGCAGAAGATGGTCGGTAGCGCAGAGTCGTGGGATGCAGTGGTGTCCTTCTGCGAGGACGTGATGTCGCAGAAGGAAACTGCGGAACGGGAAAGGGAGATCTCGACTCCCTTCCCCGGCCGCAGAAGGCGCACCGGGCGCAGGAGAAGGGCGGACAACGCCCTTTTCCGCCCCCCATAAATGGGTCCAGGGGCGAGGGACTTGGGGAAGCCCCCGCCACCCCTACTCGATGGACCCGAGGCGGAGGCGCGCGCGGGTGTCGGCGCGCGCCCCTGAGGCGATACACGGGGTAGTTTAACACCTCACTACCCCGTGCAGGAGACGAGGCCTGGACGGACCGGGCCAGCACTAGTGTGGGGCTGCGGAAGAATTTGGATTCCCGCGGCCCCACGCGCACGTGTGAGGAGACACCGGGGTGGTTTTAGCCGGTAAGAGTCCGGCACGCCCCTCCGCCTTTCCCCAGGCGGAGGTAGTCCATGAGGATTTCCCCCCGTAAAAAAAAAAAAAAAAAAAAGGTTAGGTTAGGTTAGGTTAGGTTAGGTTAGGTTAGGTTAGGTTAGGTTAGGTTAGGTTAGGTTAGGTTAGGTTAGGTTTTTTTTTTTTTTTTTTTTTTTTTTTTTACTGTTCTACTGCTGCTATATATGCAGCACCCGTGATTACTTTAGTTTTTTCCTGTTCATTTTATCTTTATCCCTTTTTTTTTATTTTTTTTTTTTATTTATTCTCTTTTTTTTTTTAATTTTTTTTTTTTTTTCCTTTTTTTTTTTATTATCTAATTTTTTTTCTGTCTTATTCCTACTTTACAAAGATATTATTATAAGTTTGTTTCATACAAAATTTGTTTATACTATTTGGAATGCATACTAAGATACATTTACTTGTTTCACTATAAATATCAACTTTTCTTATCAGTATTACAAACTTATTTTCGCAAAATCCTTTTTTATTATTTTTATTATATGTGCCATACATAACTCTGTTTTTTTTTATTTTTTTTTTCTTACAGTTGCTTACAGTTATATATAGTTACTTTATACAATTTTAATGCAATTGTCCATTGCTTTAGTTTTATATACTTTTAACTTATAAAACTATACTATTTTGGACCCATTTGCTTTTCCTGCAGTACGAACGACTATTTCTGCATATTTTAGGAAATGGGTGCGACAGTCATCGTTGTTAATAGCGTATTTTAGGGTAGTATCTTTAATTGCAATTCCCATCTTCTGCTCGCATTCCAATCTTTTCATAGCGAATCTCGGGCAATCTATTAACAGGTGTAAAATTGTTTCGTCTACTTCACTACTGCATGCACAAGATGGGGACTGCGTTAATTTGTACTTGAATAAATACGCCTTAAAACCTCCATGACCCGTTAACAATTGCGTCTTAACGTTATCTAGTTTAATGTTTTTAAGTGTACTGTGTGCTTGTCTTATGTCCGGAAAGAATATCTTCGTGACTGCTCCTGTTATAGCTTCATTGTATCGTTGTTGCCACCCCATGCAGGTAGAGTCCCTGGTGAGTCGCTTCACGAAGGACAGAGGGCACTTATCATAAACTGCGGCTTGTTTGTTAGACAGTGCTGCCTTCTTTGCAAGTTCATCAGCTCTTTCGTTGCCGGGTATACCAATATGCGCTTTGACCCAGTAGAACTCAACATCCCCGTCTTTATTTTTCAATTCTCTTAAACGTTCTCGTATTTCAACTGCAAGAGGCTGGAGAGACGTGCTGTCGGTTAGGCACTCTAAAGCTGATCGTGAGTCACTTAGTATTATTGCTTTCTTTAATTTACTGATCTTGCACATCATGTCAAGTGCTTTAAGAATAGCAGTAAGTTCAGCCTGATAAACACTACAGTAACTTTCTAACCTAAATGTTGATTTGAGTATTTCTTTACCCTCTCTCCACACACTGACAGCGCCACCTACTTTGTCTTCTAACTTACTGCCGTCCGTGTATATTCTCGGCTTAAGGCCGTCGATTGCGTTTTCTTCTTCTTGTGTAACTACCATCTTGAAAGATACACGCTCTCTTTCAGCGGGATGGGGTAAACAGAATGGGCTTATTGGTTTTTCTACGGTTCTTCCTGGTAGTTGTGCTAGTGGCTTTCCTCGTTTGATTTCATAGAGTGAAAGATGTTCCAATGCTCTTAAGTCAAGAGGGATGATTCCTGATAGTAACACGCTAGACGTAAATGAGATTGTCCTGTGGCCTTTGCAGATCTTAATTGCAAACATTCTTGTTATACGTTCTAATCTTTTCCTCATGTATTCTTTTTTCGCTACCGTGGCCCATACACTTGCCGCATGAAGAATAGTTGGCTCCACTACAGCTAAATATATAGTTTTGACTATCTCTGAGTTAAGACCCCAGTTGGCTCTTGCTGTTCTCGATATGGTTTTATAGATGTTTAGTGCCTTTCTGAGAACTCCATCTAAATGTTCTACGAAATTTAAATTTGTGTCAAAAGTAACACCAAGTACTTTCAGACTCGAAGATGGTTTGATAATGATATTATTCATTTTAATTATAGGAATTTCATAGGATAGCTTTTTTGTGATTACTATTGCTTGAGTTTTATGTGGTGCGAAGTTCAATTTGTGTTTTTTCCCCCATGCCATTACTTGCTCTAAAGCTGGATTTAATTTTTCTTCTACTGCATTAGCTGAATGTCCTTTTGCAATAACAAGTATGTCATCCGCATACGCCTGTATACGGACATTTAGTTTTGAAATTGATTCGAGAAGGGGATCTAAAAGAATATTCCAGAGGATAGGTCCACAGGTAGACCCTTGTATACAGCCTTTGGTGGTTGATTTTGTGACTTCTGCTCCTGCATACTTTAGTAAAATGCTTCTAAATGACAGGTAACTAGTGACTAACCTTAGAATCTCTGGACTAACCTTTTTCCTTTTCATTTCTCTGATTATTTGGGGCCACCAAGCATTATCAAATGCCCCTTCTATGTCAAGAGATACCACTACAACGATCATTTTTTCTTTGATGCCCTGTCTTATCACCGTCATTGTATCATATAAAGCGTCTTCTGTACTGCGCTGAGGCATGAATCCGTATTGCAAACTGTTGAGTTTATCTTCACTTCCTAACTGCCATAGAAGTCTCCCTACAAACAATTTTTCTAAGATCTTCCCAAATACCGGTAGTAATCCAATAGGTCGGTATGATTTAGGTACTGAATAATCATCTTTCCCCGGCTTTGGAATGACTTTTATAACAGCCTTTTTCCAGATCTCGGGGAAGTGCCCTAATTCTAGACACTTGTTGAAAATTGCCTTCAGCGTTGACGGTGAAGTTTTGTAAGCCTCATAGCAGATGTCTGATGTTATACCATCTTCTCCTGGTGCCTTTTTAGGGTTCATTCTTTGTAGTACCATTTCTATTTCTTCTTCGGTGAATTCCCGAAAACTAATAGAGTCATATCTTAGATCTTTAATAATTGCATTCGATTCATCACGAACTTTTCCTTGTTCTTCAGTGTCCTTATTTACTTCATCTTCAGGGTAGAATACTTTAGCTAGTAGCATAGCTGAATCATTCGGATTTAGAGTTTTTTCTCCTAAACGCAAAAGTTTGTCTTCGCTTATTGTTGTGCATTTCCTAATAATTCTGTAAATGCTCTGCCATATTGTCTCTTTTTCCTGCTTTGTACATAGCTGCTTCCAGCTCTCAGTAATTGTAAACATTATGTTACTCACATATTTTTCTTTAGCTGCTGTAAATTCTTGGATAAGGAAGGGTTTACGCCTAGTGTTCGCAAATCTTATTCTTCTTCTTAATCTTATTAATTCTCGTCGTTCAGCTTCTAACTCCTTAGTCCACCAGGGTGTGCAGGTTGTGTTAATCTTTTTAGAGATAGGTGGTATTGCCCGTTTACTAGCAATGCTGACTTGTTTGATGTATTTGTCTAATATGTCTTCCAAATCATTTGTTGTTTTTATTAGATTAACTTTTATTTCAGTAATTTTGTCATTTTCTAACCCTTCTTTTAAAACATCCCTAAAAATTGACCAATTTGCCTTAGCGGTGTTAAATAAACGTGTGGATTTTCTGGGGGAAGTTTTCTGTCTATCTATGATAATGTTTATTTGGAATTGAATTGCTCGATGGTCAGAAAGTGTAACAAAGTCTGGATCTACTCTCCATTTCTCTACCTTGTGTAGTAACGAAGATGTACAAGCGGTTACATCCACCAGACTGCTATAGAGTTTTCCAGCTCGATACTGATAGAATGTAGGGTCGTTTCCTTGGTTTAGTATGTTCATGTCCATTTCTGCTATCATTTCCGATAAGTGTAATCCCCTCCTGTCTTCCTCTCTGCTACCCCACCAAGGACTCTTTGCATTGAAGTCCCCTGCCAAGATGATGTCCTCGGTGTCCATGTTCTGTGCAATTTTCACAATGTTTCTGATATCTTCATCTAGATCCCCATTTTTTTCCAAGTACACATTAAGTATTCCTATACTATGGTTTCCTACTTTAATTATAAAGCCTACTATATTTTCACTTATGTATTCTGGATTTTCTATAATTAAGTACGTGGGATCAACAACGATGACTGCCGATTTAACCGGTTTATCAATTATGTTATTCACTTTTTGTATAACGCGGCGATTACAAGTAACATGCCCTTTTGAACCAATATATGGTTCTTGCAGTAAGAGAAGTGTAATTTTTTGGTTGACGGCCATTTGTAAAGATTCTTTATATGCCGCCATTCCTCGTCCTAGATTAACTTGCACGATTTTTACAGTTTGCGTGTCTTCTGGCATATTATTTATAATGTTTATGCTCATCTGTGTTTGTTCGATGTCATTTGTCTGATCTACTTTAGCAGTATGCAACTAAGGATCTCGCTATTCGGTCCCATTTCTGCCATACTAAGCATTCAGCACTGTATGCTGCGTGACTATGGTCCCCCTTGACTTTATTTTTAATGCAATTCGCACATGAAGGTGCTCCGTTATTTCGTGGACATTGTCTGCTGTCATGTTCGCCTGCGCAATAACCACAGGTTGATTTATCAGCTGCACACTCGTTTGCTCTATGTCCGAAACCCATGCATCGATAGCACTGGACTATAGGTGACTGATCTATAGCTGGGACTATTTGGTAGCCCACATGCACCTTTTGGTCCTTAAGGGCCTTCCATACCCAAGGGCTTACTTCGATAACTATGTTACTAACTGCTGCTGTGCGGCCTTTTATTCTTCTTAGGACCTTAATCTTAATATCATCTTTTTCTATATCTTTGAATAGCTTCACGTTCTGCTTTACGAGTGCTTCCTCTAATTTTTTATTATTGAGATCGTTCGATATTCCTAGTAACTTTATAAGTGGGTTTTTAGTAGATGATTTTGACACTGTGAGTTTTTTGGCAGAATTTTTGATCGCACTTTGTAACTTACTTCGGTCCTCTTCTGTATTGCACGTAATGACCACCTTTTGATTTCTGACTCTTCTGACATTATTTACTCCCACTCCTAGTTGCACCACGTCAATATTGTCTTTAATGGTACTGACAACATCTTCACTTGTGTGCCTAGGGTCGGAGGATTCAATAAGAAGAGCAAATCGAGGTTTGATGAGAGCTTCGGCATACGATCTTGTTGGACCGACAATTTGCTGTTCTTTGGTCGCATGATTATATTTATTGTGGTCGTTGTCCTCCTTAAGTGGACTGCAGTTGCATACTTGTAAGTTGTCAAGTTTTTCTCTAATCTCTGCTACTGCTAGCTCGGTACCTAGGCCAGAGTTATTTTGAAATGCCCACTGACTTGCTCCATGTTCCTTGAGTTCTTTTATTTCATCCGTTAATATTCCTATCTTTTGCGAGATAGGCTCTATGGCGACTGTGAATTTGTCTGTGGATATCTCCTGTCGGGATGTGTTCTGAATTTGTGCTTGTAATTCCTGCACAATATTTTTCATGTCACATGTATCACTAACAATGGAGTCTAATCGAGGGTTTTTAAGTGACTCAATGGCCTGAGTGATACATTTCACATCTGTTTTCTGGTTTTCCAAACTGTTTTTAAGGTGTTGAACTTCGAGACATAAGGATTTTATGTACTCGATCGTATCCCTGTTCTGGTTCACTATCATCGTAACCTCTTCTACAGGAAATATTTGCCGGTCACCAGAGGGACAGTTAGAAGAGTCTTTTACCGCTCTGATAAAATTTTCGTTTATTTCCTGCCGTATCTGATAAATTGTCTTAATAGGATCATCCATCTCATAATTGAGCCATCTCCTTATAGCTTCTGCAGATTTTTGCGTGTCTTTTAAAAGTTCTTGGATGTCTTTGAGCTTTTGCATACAGGAGGATTGAATTTCTGCGAGTTGTTTGGTATGTGCTCTCTCAACTCTAACCAGCTCTTTTGCTGCTCGACTGCGTTCTTGCTCTAATGCAAGCCGATGTCGGGAGCGTGAGTCTGAGAGTGAGAGCACTGTTTCATATAGCCCTTGAAGGCAATCATGTACCTCCTGCTTGCACTCCCGTTTCATGTTCCCCGCTTTCTCCAATGCCTCTTTCCCTGAGAGCAAAAATTCGTTAGCCCGCTGTGTTGCAAGATCCATGGAAATGCCAGCCCGCTTATATGCGGGGGGTAAAATACTAGATCTCTTACTGTTTTCACTGATGATGCTGTCAACATCTGACCATTCATCGTCAGTGCGTTGTACACGCTTGCAAATTCCTAGCAATTCCAATTCTGCCTCCATGTCTCTTGCAACAGAGCTATTTTGTTCCGAGACACTGTTGTTCCTGTGGATCATTTGAGGATGCGTTCTCTTGCTCTATTGGTTCCTTTGTAATAGCTATAGTATGCGAGTCTGGTTGATTACTACATCCAGGTTCTCCCAACATAGCCCTCTGATAGTCCTCCATATCCTCAGTGGGTTTTTTCGAAGAGGCTGCATTCTGTAAAAGCACTTTTTTCCGCAAAGTTGGTGCAGATACCGGGCTTATGCCTCTACCAGATCTAGAGGACTTGGATTTTGCCACTTCAGTACACGTCTTGCCCGACTTAGACGACATTTTTTTATTTTATTTTTTATATAAATCTTTTTCCCCTTTTTTTCCCCCTTAAGAAGGCAGGACTCTGAAAGACAAAGAGAATGAGTCCAAGAACGGCTATCCTATCTTAAAGGATGTAGAAGTTACAGCTCTCCAAATATTTTCAAGATGGCCGACCAATATTTTGAAATCGTTTATCGAAGTTGTTTATTGGCTTAAAATAGCCGTGTTTGGGCTCGCCGGACTCATACACCTCTGGTCTATCTCATAAATAAGGTTGGGCGCTAAAATAATTTTGATTTTTCGTTAGTGACTTTCTGATGCTTACTGAATAGCCCTCTGAACGACAACTCCAATGAGCCCAGACTCGCATATATTTGCACAAACGGTTTCAATGTTACAACGGTTTAAATTTATCCAATATGGCGTCCATGAACACCGTTTTTCTCTATCTCGAAAACCGCTAACGCTAAACCCAGCGAGATTGGGCTCGTATGAAAGGTCTTTTCACCCCCTACACCTTTCTAATAATTTATTTTTTTATTTTTATATTATTTTAGTAATAATTCGTAAAAATTAGGTTTAAAATTGATAATTTCTAGACGGTTTAAGATAAAAATTTTGAAAAAGCGGTATTTAAATAAGAATAATATTACCTTAATTATAACTTAAAGAAAGTGGGAGAATTTTGCCCAGAAGTGGGACCACGTGTAGGTATAATTTAATAAAAAGTGTAATATCTCTGTATTTTTTCAACAGAAAAATCTGAAATTTACCAAAATGTTAGGATTTAATATGTTTTGTGAAAAGCAAAAATAAAAAGTATGTATTGTCGATTTAATTTGACAGTTATAGGAGGTTAAATGTAACAAGTTTTTAATAAAAGAAGTTTTTCGTAAATAAATAGCGAAAGGGTGAACCGAACCAAACAAATTAGGTGTCGTCTAAAAGGCCCCTTTGTAACGCATCCAAAATCAGTTTCAAAATTAGCCGCACGTGTTTATTTCCCAAACCACGTGCCACGTGGTTTTTGAGAAAACTCGCTATAACTCCGTGATTTTTCAGCGAAAAAATCCGGATCAAATTGCGAAATGTGTAGCTAATGGAGTGCCAAGTGATGCGCTAAAAAAGTTGGCAGGTTGCTGATCTTGTTTTTGCAGCGTTCGCAAATATGTGAAAAAATTTTACCTGTTTTTGGGTGTTTTCGGAGTTTTTCCACGAATTTCCAATCAGGCAAAATCCTGTACTTGCGAGCAATACGCACAGATCAAAGCTTGCACTTTTCCGCACACTTTGGTGTATAACACAGCACAATAGCACAAAAATAACCCACTTTCACGAATTTTTGAACACGGAGCTCTCTCAAAACGATGTTTACGGTACGGCGGATCGGTGGTTAGTGGGTTAGGTTAGGTTAGGTTAGGTTAGGTTAGGTTAGGTTAGGTTAGGTTAGGTTAGGTTAGGTTAGGTTAGGTTAGGTTAGGTTAGGTTAGGTTAGGTTAGGTTAGGTTAGGTTAGGTTAGGTTAGGTTAGGTTAGGTTAGGTTAGGTTAGGTTAGGTTAGGTTAGGTTAGGTTAGGTTAGGTTAGGTTAGGTTTTTTTTTTTTTTTTTTTTTTTTTTTTTTTTTTTTTTTTTTTATTCTAGTTCCCCTGACATGAGGAGATCAGGGACTTTGTTCATCAATGGGTGTTTCTTTTTTCACCTTTTTTATTTTCTTTTCTTTTATTATTTTATATTTTAAGATTACATATTTTTCTATCTATTTACATTTAAGCTTACATTTATCTTATCATTACATTTAAATTCTTATTTCTATTTGTTTTTGTGGGACTGTTTACATTATATAATAGCATATATTATGTGACAGTACCCTTTTCTTTTTCTATTTGTTTTTATATACTATTTTATTAGCTATTTGTTTACAATATCTTAAGAACTTATATCTACTGTGCTTATTTTTAATTATCTCATTTACATTTTCTTTGCTTACTTTTATATCTAACTCTATTTCTATATCGCTTCTTTGTCTACTGAATATGGGACATTCCGTTATGATGTGTATTATATCCTCATTTTTTGTTGCATCACAGGCACATGCTGGGCTCTCCTTACACTTAAATTTATACAGATAGTCAGAGAAGCCCCCATGGCCTGTCATGACTTGGACCGTCATAGGATCCATGTCTATTTTCCTAATTATGCTATATGCCTGTATAGCATCTGGGAAGAACACTTTTGTTGTACTCGCTGTTTCCCCTTCCTTATAGCGCCGGTTCCATTCGTCAAGCGACTCCAATCGTATCTGTCGCTTGACGTATGAAACCGGACACTTGTCATAATTCGGTTTCTTTTTACTTTTTGTGGCTGCTTCTTTAGCTAACTGGTCTGCTCTCTCGTTTCCCTCCAATCCTGCGTGAGCTTTAACCCAAAACATATTTAAGGTTTTGCTATGTTTATTTATTTTTAAAATGTTGTTTCTAGCTTCCACCGCTAGGGGATGGAGGGAGACGTCTTGAACAATTGTTTCGAGAGCAGACCTCGAGTCACTGTAAATGTTGCAGTTTTGTGCTGGGTTTTTAAAAGCATATCTCGTTGCTTCAAGTATGGCCAGCAACTCTGCCTGGTAGACGGTGCAATACTTTTCCAACTTTAATTTTCGGGTATTAATTTCCGTGGCGCCATTCCAAATGGATAGCGCCGCGCCAACTTTCCCCTCTATTTTACTGCCATCGGTAAAAATTTTTAGGCCATTGATGTTATTTTGGTCAATTTGTGCACCGTCTTCCAGGCATGTGAACTTCAGCCCGACCTGTTCCGCGGGATGTGTGGTTTTTGTATATTCTATTTTAGTTTCTACGTCTCGATCACCCACTATTCGCCGGGAGAAGCCTTTCTTTATTTCATAGAGTAAGGCTGCTTCCCGGATCCTTATATCCAAGGGAAGCAGCCCGGCGAGTAGTAGGGCCGAGTGCAGAGATACCGTTCGATATGATTTTATTATCTTTTGTATAAATCCGCGTTGTGTCATGTCGAGCTGCCTTTTAATTTTTTGCTTATTGGTTGCTGGTACCCAAGCACTAGCCGCGTACATTACGATCGGTTCCACAACCGCTATGTATATGGTCCTAATAATCTCTGGGTTCAGGCCCCAGTGGATTTTTGCTGCTCTCGACAACTGTCGATACAAATTCTGTACCTTGCGGCACACATTCTTTATATGTGTGTCGAAGGCAAGTCTGTCATCGATTGTAAGGCCGAGTATCTTGATTTGTTTGGAGAGGTTGATGCTTTCCCCACCCATCTCCAGAAGTGGTGAGTCATACTTTAACTTATTTGTTATAACCATCGCTTTGGTTTTATGTGGTGCAAACTTTAGCTTGTTTTTGACTCCCCACTTCTGGACATGTGCGAGGGCCGCATTTGCCTGCTCCTGCACCTGTTTAGCCGTATCCCCAGAGAAAATTAGGACCACATCGTCCGCGAAAGCCTGGCAATGGACCCTATCTTTACTCAGTTGCTTCAAAAGTGGGTCTAGCAGCAAGTTCCAAAATATTGGACCCCCTATAGAGCCTTGCACACACCCTTTTGTTGTCTTTCTGATACATTCTGTCCCAGCATATCTCAAGCACACTGATCTGTCACTGAGATAGCTGTCTATGAGGCATCTTATGTTCACTGGGCATCCCGTCTCCGCAAGCGCACATCGTATCGCCGGCCACCAGGCGTTATCGAAGGCTCCCTCTATGTCTAATGATATAAGCAGAATGAGCTTTTTATCTTTGAGCCTAGTTTTTATCAGCTGCATCATATCATAGAGGGAGTCCTCGGTACTGCGCTGCGGCATGAACCCGTATTGTTCCCGGCTTATCGTCGGTACGATGTGCCACTTGACCCTTCGAATCATCATCTTTTCAAAGACCTTACCCAGTACAGGCAATAGCCCAATCGGCCTGTAGGATTTAGGGTGTGTGTAATTTTCCTTACCAGGCTTCCGCAACGCTACTATTATTGCCTTTTTCCATATAGCGGGAAAGTAGGCGAGACAAAGACATTTATTTACTATCGCCAGAAACAATGCTGAATCCAGGGCGATGACCACTCCACATATATCCGCTGTAAACCCATCGCTTCCTGGCGCTTTTTTCGGATTGAAGCTTGACACGGCCCACATCAGCTCTTCCGTTGTAAAAGGTGGGTCACATGGACTATCATGTGACCCTTCGTTTACAGTTTTCGCTGTTTCTCTAATTTGCTTGTGTTCCGTGTCATCATCTTCAATTCTATCCTCCGGATAAAAAGT